TCATTGCAGTGACAACAAAAAACTACTAAATTATTTCTCAACAGTTATCGTGTGATTCTCAAAAAGTAAAAAACCAAACGTCCGGTTTAACCCACGCATATCACAGTCGACAAAAAAAGTTCAAAACTCTCAAATTGACTCAACTACTCATTTTTATTTGAAAAATCCCAACAGCCGCATAAAATGACACGCGTTGCATAATTACCCGATTCGTCGACCCGCTCGTGTTTCCGGCGTTCATCGAAAATAAAAGAATTTCCATTAGTAACACTAAACACTGGAGGAATCGGATAAAAAACCCACATTTCCGGTGTGCAGAGTGAAACGCTTTATCGCGGCTTGGAATTCTATCTTTAGTCATTGGCGATAAATATTTATACCGGCGATGTTACACCGACTCTCGATAGAGCATCAAAACACACATTAAACCACTTCAACGGGTTACGAATAAATAATTAATCTTAATTGTTGCCTTTTCTCCCCGGCGAATGAGAATGGCTGAAGTGCAAGGAGTAGTTAGCATTCTAATTATGATTTTACGCTCCTTTGCTCTTTCATTATGCAGACGGGAGAGCCAGGAACAATAACCTCTTTATACGTTACTCCCACTCGATTCTCTTGTGCATGGGAGGACCAGAAAGAATGAAGGGTTTCATTCCGGAAGAAATAGCGAGATTAAATTTTTTATTAAAAACAACATCGGAAATGAATTTTTGGGGCATCAAACGGACGAGGAAAATGTTTCAATTTAATATTTTTATTTTTGTCGTCTAGTTCAAGACAATGGGGTAAAATGGGCCATTCTTTTGAAGGATTTTATGGATTCTTTTCTTTTTAACGCATCAGTTGAATTATTCATGTTTGTCCATTAAATAAATAATTTAAATCATTCATTTCACTTGGAGAAGAAAATTGCAGATTCATTTTTTTTTTCAAAACATATGGACAGAATTTTTTTACGAGAGAATTTTGAAGAAATAATCCATTCTGCCCCAATTGTTTTGAAGACACAGAAGAAACCCTTGACATTTTGTGAAATAAATCTGCAGAAAATAACAGGTCACAACGAATTGTTCTTTTAAATTCATGATCACTTGAATTATTTAATGCCCTCAATTCGAGATGAAGTGATGCCTTAGGAATATTCAAGTACCTATTGCATATTTAAATTCTATTATTGGAATAGTCATTCGAATTCTAGCTTCGAAAAAATTACTGTTTTCTTGAAAATTTATTTAATATTGAAGAATAATAAAAATTATTTTGTAAACGACTCATTTTTATGTGAAAAATTGATCATTTTCCATTGCTATTTTCATATTATTCTATGAATTACCCTCGTGAAGTGAGATTTCTCATTTTTCCAATTAAAAAATTTTTTTTCAACGATTTACAACAACAATTCAAATTTAGACCTTCAAAATTTGCTCAACAGAATCATTTAAGCGCATAAAAAATCACCAAAACTACCTGAATCAATCCCATTATCAATCTCGCTAATAAATAAATTAATTCCTTTAAAGTGACTGGAACAGACTGAGTTTTAAAACGCAAAAAAACGCTTCATCGATATGCACAGCACACGTGTACACACAAAAACCAGATAAACGTACTTAGCCATTAATCAATCCCGGAAAATTCAATTTACGATGAGTCAAAGTCGCCGAGTCGCAAGTGCACAAAATAAATTGGAAATGTCGGTAAAAAATTAGCATGATACGAATCACTGCATATTACCATATGATATAATTTACATCCATGAACAGTTGAAAATGAATTCCAACGGCCGTGAGACAGAGAACACCGCGGAACACTCGTGATTGAGTTTGTCGAGAAGAATTTGATACGAAACACCTGTAGATTTTCCCTGAAATGACCGTAAAATATTCCAATCGAATTTAATTCTGCAATTTATTGCGCAGATAGGGTCCAGCAGCGCTGACACAATTTTTATCATCTTTTTTATTCTTCTCATCCTCAGGCCGTAAAGATGATGCGATAGAGAAATTCCTTCGAGATACTATTGAAACTCGCTGTTTCCCATTTATTAGTTCATCAAACTGGGTCGAGGATAAATACATGGAGTTGAACAGTTACAGAATCTGTGGGTAGAAAGTTTTGTCGTCCATTGAACACTATGAAATTAGTGATGTTTACGTATGGAAAAATCAACACGACGAGTTTAGATTTCTCTCGGAGATGATATCTGTTTTGTATTCAGGTGAATAAAATCAACGCTACAGAACAGAACAGAACAGAACCAGTCAATTTTTCATGTTTTATTAATACACTGTTAGAAAATTATACTTGAAATTTCAAAAGAAAAAACTTGAAATTTTTAACAACGATAAAGTTACATAAAATTTCTGTACAATTCCTCATTAACAAATCAGTCAATTTCTTCAATATTCAAGTAATTCTCGATTTTCAGATCCATACGGCACTGAAAAACCTTGATAATGTTGAAAATTCAGGCAATAACTTCTCTGAATTTTCAATCTATTGAAAATTCAATTGTTTGATGTTCAATTTCCACGATGAATTTGAAAATTCAAGCTTTCATTGAAAAATCAATGGTTTTTTAATATGAAAAATAAAATTTTCTTGAATTTTCAAGATGAATGAGAAATTTAGTGAACGTTTTCAATTGAAATTGAATTCAAACTCACAACATTGGAAATTCAGATGACATTGTGACTGAAATTTCAAGAAATTTTTAACAGTGTAATTTAATTGTCTCGATAAATAGTGTTTTTACACAAAAAATGTCAAAAGAATTTTTTCTGAAAATTTACTTTCCTTTAAAAAAGATCGTTTCACATTTGTTCGTAGAATAAACTCAATTATTCGTTGAATGCGCAATTAGAGATAATCAAAATTTACATTTTGTTAATAATTAATTTATCTTCATAACAAGTAAATTTAATGAAGAAATGTGGGAAGATACGTTTTCGCTGATTTATTTCCACATAAAAATATTCATGTTCATTTTATTCGCATTTAAGAGATGGAATTGTAAAACGTGAGACATTAAACATGAAATTATTTTGATAACAAGTGATAACAGATGAAGATTATTATTTTTGAAAAGCAGATTTTTTCACATTTTCTCAAATACCAAAAGTCATTTTTTTGTTGAGAATTGAATTCATCAAAAAAATTAAAAATATCATGAAAATTAAATTTCATAAAGTGAGTTTTACCACTTCATCTCCTAACTAATAATCCCCTCGTAAAATAATATTTCGGGGCTTTTCGCATTCCAATTTGACACTAAAAGCGAAAGATTGAAGCTTGCGCTTGGGCGCTTGCCGCAGAATTCTCTCGCGCTCGCCACAAATTAATCCGGCCAAACGATTCTATTCACCAGAATGATATATTGATTCATGAAAATCAGTTCCATCAATTCAAGAATCAGCTCAACTTGAAAATTAATCCCTAACCACCAGTGAATGGTCAACTTGTACGATTGTCACACGCACGAATAAATCAACCTCTCAACGTAAATTCATTACGAGAGCGGAATTGATAATTCGTCCTGAGAACGTGCTCCGCTGATGTAATTTTATGAATAAATAACAAACAGACAAACATTCATTACCTACACTTTGTCAATCAGTTCTTCAAATTCCGGAGGACAAAAAATACAAAATAATTCGGTAGATATCCAGAGCATTTAAACAATCATGACAAATTATGCAGAAGCAATTGTTTTCATTAGTTAGAAATGATTTTTAATGATTTTAAAAATAAAAAATGAACAAATTCCATAAATTCCACCAGTGGAATTACCGAACATGGTTCCAGGCTCGTTTCTACAGCTCTATTTTCCCATCTAACTCTCAATATTTCTGTACTACAAATTAATTTCCCCTCGTCCTTCCTATCTTTATCTCTAAAACCCCATTCTCTGGCAAAAAAAAACCTAATTGAATTCCTTCAAAATCCACTAAACCTTCGCGAAATGCCCTAGCAATAAATGAAAAAATTAGATTCCGTCTCGTTCAAAACGCACGTCCTGAGGAGGTACTCCGCTGATTTAATTTTACGAATAAATAACAAACAAACAAGCATTCATTACCTCCACCTTGCCAATCAATTTCTCGAATGCCAGAGGACAAAAAATACGAATCAATTCCATAAATATCCCGAGCATTTGAACGATCATCATAAATTACCCATAAAAATTTTTTTCATGAGTTAGAAACGATTTTTAATGATTTCAAAAATTGAAAACGACCAAATTTCATAAACTCCACCAGTGGAATTACCAAAGAAGCTTCCAGGCTCGTTTCTGCAGTTCTACTTTCCAATCTAACTCTCAACATTTCTGTACAAAAAATGAATTCCACCTCGTCCTCCCCATCTTCACCTCTCAAACTCCATTCTCTTGCAAAAAAAAACTAATTAACACGTCTTTATTAAAATCCACTAAACCTCCGGGAAATGCCGTAGCAATAAATGAAAAGATTCCGTCTCTCCCGAAAATTTAATTTCATGAATAAACAACAAACAGAGAAACATTCATTACCTACACTTTGTGAATTTCTCAAACGCCAGAGAACAAAAAATAGAAAACAATTTCACAAATATCTAGAGCATTCGAACAATCATCACAAATTATCCATAAAAAATTGTTTTCAGAGTTAGAAACGATTTCAAATGATTTTAAAAATTGAAAACGACCAAATTTCGTAAATTCCACCAGTGGAATTACCGAAGAAACTTCCAGGCTCGTTTCTGCAGTTCTACTTTCCAATCTAACTCTCCACATTTCTGTACTAAAAATGAATTCCACCTCGTCCTCCCGATCTTCACCTCTAAAACCCCATTCTCTTGCAAAAAAAACTAATTAACATGCCTCTAAAATCCACTAACCCCCTGACCAATGCCCAAGCAAAAAATGAAAAAAAAAACATCCGTCTCTCCCAAGAATATCTCTGACTCCTTCTCTCTCTTTACTATGTCTTGCTATGTCCCGGCTTTTCTTTTGTTTCTAGATATTGCAGAACCTACAAAAAAAGCGCACTGAGCGGAGGGGGCGCCTAAGCTCTGACAATATGAATAAAAAGAAGTCCGGTTTCAGCAAAAGCGACCTTATTTTTAAGGTAACCCGCCCTCACCGAGGACAAGCGCAAAGGCTCACTCTCCTCCGCTGTTTAAAGAATCGAGAGAAAAATATTTTAAAAACTCGAATAGCTGTTGCTGATGAATTTCGTCCCGTGTGCGTGGAAAACTCGATGGAACGGACCCCTATCCTATCTGAATGTCCCCGGAGAAATACGGGATCTCTGTGTCTCACGTCCACTCAGATATTATTTTTATCACACAGATATTGTATTTATCACGTATTGTATTGTGTTTCGATTCTCGGCTGGGCTGAATTAAAATTCAGTAATTTCCGAGGTCTTCCCGAGGGAAGACTCTCCCTGACGGAGAATACTGTCTCATTTTTTATGTCAAACAACAAACTATTTTTATTTGTTCAGAAAAAAAAATTCTGCGCAAGAATTATTTATTTCACATTAAAAATGATCCATTTGAATTAAATAAACTCTATTCAAATCGCATGAATACTTTTGAAATATAAACAAAAGTTTTTTGATTAAAAAAAATTGAAAATTTTAGGAACTTGGAAAATAAAAACACAACGGGTCGTCGTATTTTTCTGAATTTCTATCCGCGTCCATCGACGTTTTCCCAATATCGGGACAATTAAACGAATAGTGGAGGGAGGAGCTGCACGCTGATTGGATCGTTGGTTTATACTTACAAGACGTTCGCTTAATTATTCCTTCCGCCGCATCTGTTTATTTGAAAAATTATTTTGATTATTTTGGTATTAACGTTGTACCCGCAGCGATAGGCTACATTGTGCTTAAGATTAATGATGCGAAAGAACTGAGTTGATATCGTTATGACACTGGGTTCTTTTACACATCCGCCTAGCGATGGAAAGTAGAGCTCATGACAGCGCCCCCGTACAGTAGCTTTAGCCCTCTCAATTTTTGTATCTGATCTTTCATTATTTTCACTTTGGGGAGGGGTGAGTTGTTGAGCAGAGAAATGATTTTTTCGTTCTCAGGGACATGTTGATTCCTAAAAATTAGTGACAAGTCCCTGAAAATCAAAACTTTTTCTTTTCTCTGTGATGATAAGTCGATTTCGATGGGTTTGTGGTGATCCGGGAGATGTGGAGAATAAAATTCTCAAATTTTGGTTCATTTTTTTTAATGAATGGTTTTGCATCTAAAGGGATGGTTCTTTTGAATTGACTATTTTGATGAAATAAATTGTTTACTTATTTTTATTGGAGAATTAATGTACGAATTCATGAGTAAATTACTCCATTTATATAATTGACACATTTTTATTGCAGTAAATATTGTTGAAATGAATGAAAACTACAGAATAAAGAGTTTTATCTCATTCAAATAGCTTCAAGGATTCAATTATTGAAATTGAGGGACAAAATTTCTGCAAAATCACTCAAAACTACCAAAAAATCACGTGATTTTGGTATTTTATCATTTTCACGTTGGGGAAGGGTGAATTCTTGATCAGAAAAAAGAATTTTTTTCATTTTCAGGGAGATGTTTACTAATTTTCAGGAATCTATCACTAATTGTTCGTGATGAGTTCCTGAAAATGAGTGGCATGTGTCTGAGAATCAAACCTTCTTTTCTCTGTGATGATAAGTCGATTTTGATGGGTTTGTGGTTATCAGGGAGATGTGAAGAATTGAATTTTTGAATTTTGATTAATTGTTTATTTGTTTTTTGGAGCATTCATTCATGAATTCACAAGTAAATTCCTCATTTCATGTAATTGAAACATTTTCATTGCACCAAATATTATTGAAATGAATAAAAAAATACAGAATCGAGTGTTATCTATTGACAATCCACCATTCACCAAAATTTAAAAAAACTAAAATTTCAATGAATTCAATTCAACACGTCTCCAAATCCCCGAAAGAGTTTTCTCTGGCCGATGAAATTCCCTTCGAAAAAAGTCTCAACAATTTCTCTTCAAGCCACTCACCCCCAATATTCCAAAAAAAATCGACTTACCTCTCCAATCACCTCGCCCCCCCCTAAAACTTCTGTACCATTTCGCTCCTCCATCTGTCCTCCCCTCCCCCGCAAAAAATTCTTTCAGCAAAAAAAAAGTATTCTCGCCTGAAAGAACTTAATCTCTCACCACGTCTCCTCCAGAGTCCACCGACAAGCGATGCATAAATAACCAGGCTTTTGATCGCTAGACGGTGTGCAGGATTTGACTCTCGATGCAGCGCACGTAATTTGGGCGTCCCTTCTCTGTCGCTTGGCCGTTAAATAACAAAACTTGCAATAATTCTCCACGAACATGAATATTAAACAAAATACTTCCCCCGATTGTTGAGCACCAGCGTAGATGAAGCGTTAGAAGATCCGACGGATTGTTTCATTAAGTATTTAAAAAAGAACATTCGACAATTGTGTAATGCAGTTGAATTGTTTGTCAAAACGTTGATTTAATGTGTCGTAAATCCTTCGTATGCATATCCTGCACGAGCTTGTGTTGCTACGCTGCATGCACTTTGGCAGGAGCAAAAAGCATTGGGCGATCAATCTCTTGTGTTACACCATTTTACTGCTGCAAAATGCTCTCGGCTTACCTAGCAGCTTTATCACGCTTGGATGATGCAGGGCATTTGACAATTTAATTTTAATTCATTAATTTATTCAGCATTTCCTCATTTCTCTTCGCTTTTCCATTCATTATCATTTTTTCAATTGAATTTCATTCGTTTCTTTCGTTTGGTCTCTCTCATTTCTGTTACTTTGAGTGCTGTACGATGAAGATACTGTAAAAATGTTGTATTATCTAGTTGAATATTTGGAATAATTCATTGAGAATCTCTCGCTCACACGACTCTTGATAAACCTGTTACTGTCTCGTAGATCAGTTGTCTCGACATGTTCATTCACAAGGCTCAATAGCTAGTTCTCATCGTGATCTCCTGATAATTTCATTCAGTCATTCGTACTCTCATACATTCGTATCTCCAGGTGTATGTCATTATTTTCTACTCGTGACTTTATGCGTTTTTTGTGAGCAATTGTTAGTTCAGGTTATGTTTGTGGTTTTATTAGAATATTTAAGATGGATATTTGAGTTTGTGTGGACTAATGGTCCTGTAGGATTGGATATATTTTATAGTGGGGGGGCAGTAGAGAAATGGTTAAACGTGATGGATTAGTTGTTCATCGAATTGGATGAATCAAGTATAATAATTAAAGCCAATTCGTTGAAGGGAAATTGTAATAGTTTGATTTCTTGAGAAATTCGTTTGTTCTTGTTGAATTTTGAACTACCCCAATTACAACAGCATTTAGAAAGAAGTGAATTAGATGAATTAATGAATTAATGAGAATTTAGAAAAATTTCATGGGACATTTTTCGTTGAAAATTCAATTCTTTATGAGGAAAAAATATTTTTAACTTTTTTCCTTAATTTATTCGTTTTTGAGACGTGTCAATTAAAAAGAATCTATTTAGGTGAATTAAACAGAATTTTGTTCTGATTCTTTTGTGAATAATTAAAATTAACAAACTTAAGTTGAATTGATAAAACAATCGGTTTTAAAAATCGCCAGAAAAACTTTTTATTGAAAATTGAATTCTCCATAAAATTGAATTCTCGCAAATAGAAATCTGCAATCATCAAGAAAAATAAAAAAATTAAAAACCTCAAATGAAATTGATGAAAAAGTCTTTTTTTAAAAAGAACAAGAAACTTTGTTAAATTCTAAAAAAAATCTTTGTGCAAAAAAATCACGTTTTATCGCTTCTGTACTGACTTCACCTCGAGCAAAACTAAATCATCAACAATTCACCGATGATTCATCATCTGCACGTCAAACCTCTCGAAAAACTCTCCAAAAACCCCAATCCCCGCGCCTTGACTCGTCAACCCTCATTTTCAATAACAAAGGAGTCCCTCCAACGTTTGAGGGCAATAATTGGCCACTAACAATCGAGCTAAATGGGTTTGTCGTACCCAATGCGTAACGCTGTGCCCCCCCCCTTCCCCCTCACCCCTAGGAAACCAGGAGGACAGGGTTTCGCTGAATTGTTCATACCTTCTATGTGCATACCCTCTCCTGTGTGCGCGTGACCAAATTCTGACCCTTCCGTTTCGAGATCACAACTCAGTTGTAATTGAATCACGCATCCAGGTGTATTAATACATTGAAGCACTCGACATCATCAAATGATACCCTCCATCCAATCCAATTTATCAATTCTGTATGCAGAAATTCCCTGATGGTATCATTAATCAACCGCAATGTGTACTGATGAGATCAGTATTTTTATAGAATAATTTTACATCTATTTGTCATTATGTTCTGTTCTGAGCCGTTATTATTTGGCTTTTGTGGATTCAATTGGCGCATATTTGTTGCTTTTAGTCTGTTTGTTTCGCGTAGAAATGAACGATTAATCAAATTAATGAGATTAATAGGGTTTTGAAATTTTATTTTCAGTTTTTTTAATATTCTTTGGGCGTTTGACCTCGAGTGTGCGTTGATGTACACCTTTATCAAGTGGGTGAACTCAATTTTAATGTTTGGAAATAATGACTATAATAGTAATAGTGACTAAATACACGCACAAAAAAATTGAACAGAAAGATGTGGGCGATTTTATTAGAAAATTCAAATCAACAGAATTTTATTTTTCTATACAACTTATTTTTCTGTAGAAATTCTTCGGCTAAAATTTTCTAAGCTTTTTTGGTTGATTATTTTGAATGGAAAAGAGAAGAACATTTTTCAATAGGAAAAATAATACACAAAGATACAATTTTCCTGTTTTTTTTCTATAAAATAGTGTCCATTGGACATTTCCATTAAAAAAACACAGGAAACCTACGAAATTCTCCAATAGAATCGTCAATAGAATTTTCCATCGAACTCTCCAGGTTTTCCGCACTTTTTTGTGTGCGTGTAATCGTAAATAATAATTTTCACCATTATAATCTGTCAATTATTATTTTGATTAATTGATTAATGATTATTGTCTATAATCATTAGTCAATTTGGAAAAAAAATTATTCGCGTACAATGAAAAAAATTGTATTCCGTGTTATTTTCACAAAAAAAATTGAACGATTTGATTTCACCCAACTGAATGATAGAGGTGTATATAACAGGATGCACGCAAAGGAAAAAGCTGCACCGGCGCACACAGGGTCGCCCCCGCATTTCAGAATTTCATAACCGCCCATTGCCAAGAGATTGATTTTTCGTACCCGCTGCTTGAAAGCACACAATGTAGTTGTATATCTCTATACATGGCGTTATACCTGAGTTTAAAGTCCCTTACCCACCCACCCTAATCCACCCTTCTCGCCCTTATGCCGCTGCCGTTCCTCTTGTCGTCCTGCTCTACTTATTTTTTTTTCTCGTTTATTTTGTCGGTGGAGTTTATTGACGCTCGCAGAAAACGCAGCATGATTGTTCTTTTATTTGGACATCATTGTTGTGTGAATAATCAGGGAGAGTCTCTGATGGGGGGTTAATTAGATGTTCTCAGAGCTGGGTCTAGTAACAGTTGTTTCAGCGGATAAACCAGTATTTAACAAACCCGATAAATATTTTTGAATTTCTCAAGCAGTAAATGTCCACTTTATTAGTTCTGGAAACAGATGCATGAGTAATATTCACTTTCTCAAGATTATTTGCATTTTTCTATTTCATGTTCACTGAAATACGAAAGTAAAATAGTACATACTCATTTTATTTAAGTTTCCAGAGTAGAAGTGAATAAATACTATCCATTATTTAAAAAAAAGGAGAGTGAGTCGTTATTGAACAAAATGTTAACATGTATTTCATGAAATAGTGGAGTAAAATAGACGATACAATGTCACCACTAATTTAGATGACATGAGATAGCTAGAATTCATCGGAAATTATGGAAATGCAAAATGTCAAATTTGGAATTGTTATTTTGAATTGTATTTCGTAATATTACCCAGCTCTGCTCCATGTTGCTTGATGTGTTCCAACGATTTATCAATTTATTTTGCGATCCCATTACGTACCTCTTCACCGTTGATATGTGATGTTTGAGTGTATTTAGCTGAGATGTAGAGGATGTTGAGGCGGGTCGCAGGACCCCTGTCTCAACGACAGTTAATCTATTACGTTGTTCTTTTAAATGTTGAAGTACATTTATTTTGCGTATTTACCCTCGCTTATTTGCTGTACACAATCCGCCAATATGACGCTTTCGACGACCCCAAAACATTAGGGGGTGACTTACAATTTCCTGTGAAGAATTATAAGAGTGGAGCATCCGGAGTTTAATTAACAAACCCGGAGTTTGGTGAATTACGGGGGAGTAATGCTATTTTTTGTTGTTGCCAGTTCCTGAATATGGCGTCGGTGTTCATGAGAATATTCAATCTTATCTGCATGATGCTACTCATTGGCCATTGGAGTGGGTGCCTACAGTTTCTTGTACCTATGCTGCAAGGATTTCCTAGTAACTCTTGGGTTGCTATCAATGAACTACAGGTATTGTCAACAGCGTCGTTTTTTTTTTCGCAGTAGTGCGATGAATTTCTTGGATAATTCGGTCGTTGAGGGATTTTAATAATAATATTTTTTTGAGGCACTCGAAGTGATGAGAAGATGGAGAAATGAGGAGGTTGTTCTCACATTTTTAGGTATTGAATCGTGGTGATGAGTAATTTTGAAGGAAAATGGGAGAAAATATTTTTGCTGAACATCTAATCAACTTGAAAATTGATAAATCCTTTCAACTTTCGGTATTCGAAGTATTCGTGCATTAAGAACGATATACACAATAGATTTAACCATTTTCAATCATCAAATTTGCCAATTGAATTGCGTGAGACAAATTTTTAAAAATCACGAATATTCAGCGTCATTCAAAATACATTTTGCACAGAATTATAATTTTTTTGAACATTCGTTGTTTATATAATAAATAAATAATTGTACTTGTTTAAACTTTCGGAAATCGTATTTTTGGACGCATAAAGTCGCTTTTTTTTAATTTGCCGCGATTCCGAATAAATGATTTTTACCGGGGAAAATTGATTGTTTAAAATTTTATTTAATTGCAATTTTTGAAAAAAATTAAAGAAACGTTTTATAACTGCTCCATATCGAGATTTAAATTCAGTCAGCTCTGATATTCGACTTTAAAACTAGAAAAGCATTTCACTGGAGAAAAAATAGTCAAAGTACTTGAATATCCTTAAATTAATTTCTAATTAACGAAAGTTTCAAAACGGACGTTTTGAAAAACTCGATTTTTCCACGTTTCATTAAACATTGGATTAACTCCATAACGAGGGTTTCAGGGGGAAATGTCAGAGACTTTTTTTATCAGAAGTTTAGTTCTCCGAAAAAAGTCTTTCAAAATTTTCATCTCAAGTCACAAGCTCACGAGATAAATGCATAATCAACGAAAGTATCAAAACTGATACTTTAGAAAACCGAATTTCTAAAATTATCGAATTATTCGATGATAAGGGATTTAACAAAAAATGTCGGAAGACTCATTAAATAACTCATTGAGTTTTTGATGAAATGCCATTTGTTTCCGAGTTATAAACATTTAAAGAAAACTGAAATTTTGCTTAAGCCCATTTTGCCCCCTGTAAGTGTTTCCCTCAAATCTCGTGAAATAATTCCCATAATTTTCACAGGAAGCGTTCTGGCTGGAGCAATACTCCTGGGCTCTCTTCAAAGCGATGTCCCACATGCTGTGCATCGGTTACGGAAGGTTTCCACCCCAATCACTGACCGACATGTGGCTGACAATGCTCAGTATGATAAGTGGTGCAACGTGTTACGCTCTCTTCCTCGGTCACGCGACAAATCTCATCCAATCCCTCGACTCATCCCGAAGACAGTATCGCGAAAAGGTGAAGCAAGTTGAAGAGTACATGGCATACAGAAAACTGCCTCGTGAGATGCGTCAAAGGATCACGGAGTACTTTGAGCACAGATACCAGGGTAAATTCTTCGACGAGGAGCTCATCCTGGGTGAACTATCCGAAAAGTTGCGGGAGGTAAGAATAGGTCTATCCATTAAACCCTGCACAATGATGAATATCGTATTTCTCACTGTGAAAAAGTTTTTGACATTGTTGATTAACGTGAGTTTGAATTCCCTGCAGGATGTGATAAACTATAACTGTAGGTCGCTGGTGGCATCTGTGCCATTTTTCGCCAACGCCGACTCAAACTTTGTCTCGGACGTCGTCACAAAGTTGCGATACGAAGTCTTCCAGCCAGGTATTCATAACAAATTCAATTCACGTTTTAAAGGGAGTCAAGAGGTCGTCCAATATTTCTGGACTGATTCTGTTAACATTTGTGAGAACGAAACAAAAAACAAAAGTCAATGTTTCACATCTTCTCATTATTTAATTAATGAATAGTTCACAATTTAAATGTCTTGTGATATTTTCTTCTAGAATCCCTCGTTTGCAAATTAAATTCAAAATTTTAAAAAATGTCTCTTTTGACTTCACTTCTCTTCACATTCCCTTATTGTTCCATATCTATATAAATGAGACATTTAGTTCTTTCCCCATAGCTGGTCATATTTTTCTAACGTTCTCCAAGCGGATTACAATTTTTTAAATTATATGTGCTGCATCTGTTTTCAGAATTTTTAAACAATGCTTGACGGTCTATTCTTTTCAACAAATGGAATTGCTTATTGAAAAATCAACAAGAATTCACTCTTTGCCATCGGATTTTTTATGTAAATAAAAAACCATACTTTTCTGATCACAAAGTACTTCTACATTTTCCGTAATATGCATTTCTTTATTTATAGATTATCAAAAAAAATACTGTTCAAGATTTCAAAACATCATAAAATTGTTTATCTAAAGGGCCTCCAATGTATTAAAAAACGAGAAAAAAATAAAAATGTGATTATTTTTCTGAGTGAAATAACGTGAAACGTCCCATCTCCTCCAATATCTCATAAAGAGTAATTCAAGAAGAAAACATCAAAAGAAAATTCTCCTCAAAATTCAATTCTCCCCGAAAAAAATTGTCATCTTCCTCCAGGATGTCTCATTTCCAAGATAAATACAAAACTAAACAACCCCGTTTGATCCCTCTGTCTCTCCCCAGGTGACATCATCATAAAAGAGGGCACAATAGGTTCAAAAATGTATTTCATCCAAGAGGGTATCGTCGACATAGTAATGGCAAATGGTGAAGTAGCCACATCGCTATCCGATGGCTCTTACTTCGGTGAAATTTGCCTCCTAACGAATGCAAGACGAGTGGCATCAGTCAGAGCCGAGACTTACTGCAATCTTTTTAGCCTCTCGGTGGACCATTTTAACGCAGTACTTGACCAATATCCACTAATGCGGAGAACAATGGAGAGCGTTGCCGCCGAGAGGTATAAACTTTGGTTAGGTTTGTTCTATCGAGTTGGTGTGCTAATAGATGTCGATTCACCGAACCCTCCTTCCCGTCATAACAAAATTTATTCTGTCAATTGTTTCTTTAATCACTGTTTTTTTATTCATTGCTCTATTTTTATGGACATTTGATTTTGTCTTCGGACATTTCGAGGGGTTCAATCATTGTGCGTCGACTCTGCTTCGCTTGCGACTCGATCTATCTTTTAAGATAGTTAGATGATTAGAGGAAATCGTTTAGTGTTCAAATGGTTTTGTTTAAATCATGTAAAAGAAGTACATTATGGAGTGGTATTGCCTACAACTTGACTACACTGTTAGAAAACTGATTGAAATTTCATGGAGAGTTGACTAGTAAGTTTCACAGGAGTGACAGTGAACTCCACTTTTAGAAGAAAAAGAATAATGAAATTTCAGATTTCACTGAAAATTACGTGAAATTCCAATGTTTTGCGCAACAGAACAACGAAAATTCTCCAATTTACTTGGCGTTTCAATCAAACATAAATATTCACTACCAACTTACGCTGAATTCTCAATTAATTGAAAACGAAATTTGCTATTTCCACTGATTTTTCCATCGAATTGTGAACTTTGAATGACAACATTCCTTGAAATTTCTGTAAAACTATAACACGATAAAAATTCTCAAGAAGTGTGCCATAATTTTCGACAGTATATGTCAATGAATACCCCAAAATTCTCATTTAACTTTAATCTCAAATAAAAATCAGAGCAACCAATTTCACCACTGAACGATCAACTCCACTAGATGTTTCATGATATTAAAAGATTGATGAGCCGCTGAAATCGCTCTGCTATCTTTTCATTAATCCGCCGGGTTGACAACACCCTCTTCCACGATTTATAAGATTAATCATGAACGAATACAGGGTGATTAAGTACCAAGAGGGAGATGACAGACTGAAGATGAGTATCACAAAATATGTCAATCTTTATTGCATAAAAGAATGTATTTTTTTAACATTCAATACGATGCGTAAGCATTTGCCTGCTCTTCACGCTCAGCGCTACGCTCACAGTTGCCCGCAGTAGAGCGATCTGTCAATTTTTTTACATTTACAACTCTCAGTGTGATTGAATCAGTGTCTATTAATCAATGTAGTTGAAGAGATATTGAATAATCTTATTAATGATAATGTGACTGTCTCTCTTGGCCCGGTCGATTAACCGCTTAGAATGCGTACGACATATCGTTGATGATTCAACGATCGTTGAACACATTCCCTTCTGATCATGCATAACTACTGTGACAAAGGGTCTTTCGTTTTTATCGATCCACCGGTCCGTCATTATCGAAAACTCTCGCAGGATAGAAATGCCGACCAACAGTAATCCTTCAAAATTGTTATCTTTTTCGTGTGGGATAACGCGGACGATGATGTTGAATATCCTCCGAGGGTTTTCACGGTCAAATGATGATAATCGTTGGTTGTGTCGATTGCGACATTCCCTACGCTTAATGCTCATTTCCTCGCAGGCTGAACAAAATTGGAAAGAATCCGAATCTCGTGGGGAACAGGGAGGAGGACCTTGGCAGTGAATCAAAGACGATAAATGCTGTTGTTAATGCATTAGCGGAGCAAGCTGCACATGCCAGTGCCAGTGAGGAATCGGTAAATTGAGTCAATTAATGGTTTATTTGCTGTTTTCAGGATTGAGAATATGATGTTATGTAAGAAGAGTAGAAAATTTTATGCTAAATTGAGAAAAAACACGGGTTTTATGGAAGTAGTTTATGAAATATAGATGATTAATGTTCATTTGGTGGAATTCCTCTTTGTGATATGTATTCATCTTCATTTTAAGACTCCAGGGGAAGCCGATAACATGGGTACAACCCTTCTAATACCACAAGTTTGAAATTATTACTATATTTAGCATTTGAAATCACCTCATTGAGGGACAAATGAGGGATTTGCATACATCTGAAGCATCTTAATCGATTATAATAATTTGAATGCTTCGAAATCAGCAAATAAAACTCATCAAAAAGTACAAATTAGATTGAATGGAGTCAATTCATTTTTTCTGCAGTTCTAAAGATTGGGAATATGATGTTTCATTTGAAAAAGGAGGAAATCTCATGCTAAATTGAGAAAAAATATATGTTCTATGGCAGTAGTTTATGAAGTAGAGATGATTAATGTTCATTTGGCGGAATTTCTCTTTGTAATAATTATTCATCTTCATTTTAAGACTTGAGGACAACTTCATACCATACAAACCTTCTGATAGCAAAAGTTCGAAATGATTACGATATTCCATCATCTGCAATCGCCTAATCAATGAATAAATAAGAAAACCAATACATTCGAAGCATTTAAATCAATTATAATGGGAATTGTCTGAAATGAGGGAACAAGACTCATCAAAGAGCTTCAGAGAGCCAAAAACAACAGCAACAGCACAAATTACCATCAGAAGATCTATCTTTTCACAAACGCGAGGCTAATTAACTCGTCTTCATCTAATTCAACACGAAATTTCTGTCTTATTCGAGCGCCATAGAATCCATTCGAGGAATGTATTCCAATTATTCTCGTATCCAATTCTTTTTTCTCAGAGCTGAGTCTTTGGTAGATGATTTGACAGAAGATTCAATACTTCTATTTCAAGAAAAAAAAAATGAACAAAAATTATTGCAATCTACATCCGTTTAAGGATTTTCCTGTTGTCCAATCATAGGGTCAAATTATTGTGAACTATTCACTTGGAAAAAAATTTAATTTCATGTGCAGTTCAATTGAATTTACTGAAAATTCAATGAAATTCCAAATTTTTGAGGAACAGAAAGACAATAAATTCCCAATTCACTTGAATTATTCACGTGGAACTATAGGACAAAAAATAATGTTCCAAGAAGTGTACGTAACACGTAAAATAGAAATTTCAGTGATAAAATTTCCACCAGAACTAATGTAGCAATACCAGTAAAATCGTTCTAGTACGTTGAAATGTAGTCGCACTTGCAGGTGCACAGTATGGAGCTCCGTGCCCTACCAACGTGTCTCCTACCCCGGCCAAAGTCAGAGAATAACTTTGCCAGTCAGGAATTGACGAGGGAGGGACGTCGAATCTTCCACAAGAGCGATACCTTCCACAAGGACTCGTATCAATGACGACACTCGTCCTATTAGCACGCGCAGCGTTACTGAGGGAATATCAAATGCACAACCGTGATGAATTAATAACAGCGTTGCCCAGCTGTATCCACCCACACGTAAGCATCAAAAACTCGTCGCTAATGCTCTCTGAAGATACTAGAGGAATTTCCACGTGTGCTACCACGGACTGATGACACTGAATTCCCAACAACAAAAACCATGAGAATGTTTAATAGGACGTATGGACAATGCGCGCGCAAAAAATTAATTTCGTAATAAAATGAAACAATAAACATTGGGATAACATGAGGGGGACCCGAGGGCTATGTTAACTTGTTGAGAGTCCTCTGGGTCGTGGCAAGAAACGACTAACATTTAAAATACAGTGCGGGAATTAATAAAACGATATCTTTTTACGAGATTAACAAACAACTAATTCATGAAAACAAAAAAAAATAAACGCGATGTACTATAAAGAGATTCAAATTCTATATAAATAATGAAAGAAATAAATTATTGCGATGAATTACTACCATTGCCGCATTATTAGGAAGTTGAGAGATTATATTAAATGCAGGAGGAATACAAAAAATAGATTAATAGTGAAATGCTATTGAGGACGTTATGCAATATTGCAGATTTTAATTATTGTAATGAAATGATAAGTTTATGAATGCAGGGTTGATAAGTACATTTCAATTGCACCAATTTGATTAAATTGTTATATTTTCGGGGGCGAGATGGTTCAAAGCGAGTTGCGACGATTATTATTTGAGGGGGAGGAGTTATCGACAAATGTGTAAAATATATTTCTCTCTTATTTGACATTGTTAATACGCTGCAGATATCAGTTGACATTGATCATGATTTTCGATTATTAGAGAGTGCCTAGAGAATTGACGATGCAATGAATTATAATTTTGTAGCAGAAAAAAAAAATCTAGCTAAAAGTCAATGAAATAAATTGAAGGGATTACCGATCAATCTCCAATTTAAAGAAACGCATGAGTACCTATGCATATATGTAAATATGAATTAAATACAAGAGTCGCTGTAGGAGTGACACGTGAACACGCAAATAAATCTAGGTATTCACGAGAATTAAATAAAAAATGATGAGTAAGTAAGTGAATAAGTAACGCGTAATGCACGTAAGCATTTAACACCACGAGACACAAGTGAAAGATAATTATTAACAGAATGAGAGGATAATTAGTTGAAATATTTTTCATTTTGGAGAACAATGTAGCATTTATCCCCCCTTGCGTTGCGCTCTACGAATTACCTCGTGACGTTTGCTTATTCCGTTGAGAAGCAATATTTTAATGATGAATTATTGAATGATGAAATACAATTGTAAAACCATATACAGACGTTTAATATTAATGAGAAAAAAAACAGCTGTTGCCATTGCTATTTTCAATTATGAGTGAGAGAATGAAATTTATTCGATATTTAAATGATTGAATAGTTTATTGTTGAATGATTATCGGGGGGGAGATTTCATTGATGATGTGAGAGTGTTATGTTGAATTAGAAACAATTGAATCGTTGACATTTTATTCATTCTGTTTCAATGTTTACGTGATAATATGAAATAGTGAGAGGATAATTTTTGTAAGGACACGTGTTGAATCGAGAAACGAGACAGCCTGACAAAACGAAAATGATGAATAGGATATGAAATTGTTGAAATAAATAATCAAAATTGATATTGAAGTGACTCGTGAGCCAAGAGTGACTACAGTGCAATGACTTAATTCTAGCAATGACAAACAGCGATTTATTTATTTTTTCTTCTCTCTCGAGTGAATAAAACCCCTTGAGCATATCAGAAATATTTCTACTCGACGATACAAAGCCGTTCAATCAATTGATTAAATGTAATGTTTAATGAGCAGTTGTAAGCCGAATTGGGGAGGTATTAAATCGGAACGCTGCAGTTGAATATAGCTCGCGAGATCGCCATAAGCCTGTTACAAGCCATGTGCAGTCCCCCCGATCTCCCGTACGGGCCATTATTTCCGTTTCCGGGTTCATAGACAATGCGTAGAAGTTTTAATTATTATTGGAATGAAGAGGACGGGGGCGATGTTGGGGGTTGACGGAGGGGGAGAGTTTCTGGTTGAAGAGCCTCTTGACTGGACTGTTAGAAAAAATGGAAATTTCATGGTAATTTCCGGAAATGTGACATTGGATTCGATTCACGGAGAAAAAAAAATAATGAAGACGAGAATTTTTCCACATACTTGAATTCTAAATTAAGATATGAATATTCGGTATCAAATTACCCAAAATTTTCATTTAATTAAAAATTCAAGAATTTATTCAACTAAAATTGACGATTTCCATTAATTTTTCCGTAAAATTTTGAATTTCAAACGACGAAATTCCGTGCAATTTCCGTGGAACTATGATGCGCTCAAAATTTCCAAGAAGTGCACCAGAAATTTCGGCCGAAAATTCTTAACAGTGAAGAGCTTTAAAGATTACGTGCATGACACAGTCTGCAAATAATTTTCAAATTAATGTGTTTATAATCTTCGCCTACGGCTTGGATTAACCCCTCCCCCTTCTCAAGCTTAGTGATTTATTGCTATTCACGTGGGAAAGTTTCTGGAACTGAGAAAGTCTCAATAAAACCATTCCGTTAAAAGTTAAATTCTCTTCAGAAACATCATCCAATATGATTCGTAAATTCCACCGCAATTTCTAAGCATTAATTATCATGCGTTGAATTAATTTTTCCAATATCCACTTCTTCCATTCCAAACTCATCAGAACAAAAATAAAATCAGCAATCCTCTTACATCTCTCTTTATGAATATTAAATAACTGGACACAACGATCAAGTGGTGACACTCGCCACACTGAAATCTCCTAAAAATGTAATTTCCAAAAATAAATTTAATCACAGGAACAGTTCCACGTGAACCGTCAATAAATTTTGCGAGTCTCTCCAACCAGAATAAACCCCAGCGGCAGCGAACTCTCATCACCTCCATTTCTCCCTTTTCATATTCCTTCGTGTCTTAATTTCCCATGCGCTGCAGACACGAAGGAAGTAAAAAAACCATAAATAATCAAGCTTGGCTCGATCTCCCACGCTGACATGTTTTCTAAAATTGTAATCTCGCACGTGCCACCATACTGTCACCGTCACGTTCGCGAGCTGGAGTGAACGGCAGCGGCAAGTGTTCCAAATTGACCCCAACCAGTAGCTTCCAATTCAAGAAATATTAAAAAATCTGAGTTTACCCGTAGCGACAGTTAATGGTATTCTCAACATTACGTATTATCATTTATTTGGGTATTCATGAGCGGGTGGATTGCCACCGTGTAAGAACTATTTTTATATTCTCACCTGAAATTTAATGAGATAACGCGCAGTAGTGAGCCTTGTATAAAACAGGATGAAGGTAAGATGATTCAGTGAATTTATGAAAAATGAAGTAACATAAAATGTATATCACCCCAGCGTCAATTTTCTACGAATAATACGTGCAGAGTCGGACAACGGGTGCACGTGCTTCTCGGTCGCCAATTATAAACAGCATCGTAACCTTCGTTTTAGTGTAACAAAAATTATCGTGAAGGTACCCTAAACTCCCCTATTTTTCTCTGAAGAAATCAGTAAGGAAGTGGTGAAACGTGACAGAATGAACATTTTTTTTATGGCTTGTTGAATTTTAAATTATTTCGATAACGAATCGTTTCACGGGATTATCGACAGTTTAGTAGTAATTTTCAGGGGAGCAACATTGAATTCGATTTAGGAGAGGAGAAAATAATTCCATATGTCAGTGAAAATTCATGGGAATTCAAATTTTTTAAAAACATGAATATGTTTCATTGATTTATTCATCAAATTGCGAATTTTCAACTACCTAATTCATTGAAATTTAAGTGGAACCGTCACTTGATAGAATTTTTCACACATTTTTGTTGAACATTCAATTCTCTACAAAAATCAAAATCTCTTGACATCAAGTTCACGAAATAAATGCAAATTTAATGAACATGTCTAATTGGACATTTTTCGCATTTTGAAATTATTGAATGGTCCGCATGAAAAAGGCCGACTTAATCAATTCTAGTTTTCAAAATATTCTTGATTCTGTCTCCGCAACTCTCATTCAAACTAACGTGAAATTATTTTCACCTTCTCTAGCGAATTCATTTCTCATCAGAAGTCAAGAGAACTTTTCACCTAAAATTCTTCATTATCAAATGAATACAAAATTACCAAAAACGCAGAATTTTTATTACAACAATTTCCCACTTCGCTACTGAACAAGCTCTCCAAAAATTCCGATACCCAATTTTTTGGACGAACATAACAAGTACAAAGAAATCTTACCAAAACTCCGTAACCCCCGCTTGGCTCTTACTTTCCCAAAAAAAAAATCCCCAAATATAAATTACCAAGTCAAACCAAAAAAAAAAACTCTCATCGCACATCATTTGAGATAAACTCGCCATAACGAATGCCTTAGCGAAACGTATAATTGTAAATGGAATCTACAAATAAGCGAGCAAATGAACCTAGACACTTACACGAGAATACGTAGAGTGGTATTTAGAACGAGGAAACGATTACCGTGGAAAATTAAACAAAATTAATGAATAGAATATATTAAACCGAGTGAACAAACGGACGGGGAGTGCGACACTAATGTTACCAGAGATGACATTGAAGTATGAAGTGAGAGTAACCATAGAAACTTATTATTAACTAATTAAACTGTAAACAGAGGAAAATTATTAAATAACTAAGGTTGTAATTACTGTAATAGAGAGAATGGAGCGCGAGGAATGAAGGATTGTTGAGTGACGCTAATGAGTAATCGTAAGTACTGCAATTATACTTGACTTCGCCCGTCCACTTACCAGGCAGTGGGTATCAATCGATGCCTATTTTCGTTATTCGATTAATCAGGAATTAATGATTCAGTGATAAAGGGGAAAAAGAGGAGAGATTAGCTTCAGGATATATTAATTTGCCAATGGAATTTAATATTTTTTTGTTGAAATTAATTTTTCATGTTAAAATCCTTGTGAACATTTGTAGTTTAACATCAGGACGTCCATTTTATTTTAGTTTACCAAAGCTTTGCAATGGTTTTTATTATTCACACTTCGAGAGGTTTCATTTCATTCTTCATTTCGCGCTTTTAGAAGACATTTTGAAGACCTAAAAAAATTATCAAGTCAATGTTTTAAAAAAAGGTCCGTAAAATTGTGGAAAGGCTATTTTCAATTATTACAATTTTTTTTTCATGAATAATTGCGTAATTTAATAATTCATCAATTTTCTACCCTAAAATAATTACTTTTCAGCATTCGTAATTCATGATAAAAAGAAGTTTTTAAAAGTTTAAACAATTTCCAATATTCATTGGTAAGAAAGGCACTTTAAAAAAGTAATTCATAATTTTTTGAGAGAAGATCTCTGAACATTCCTGAAAGGATTTTGTTATTCCGAGATATTTCGCCACAAAGTGACTGTTAATGAAGCAAAATTCACCTTCACATTCTACTTTTCGTTAAATATTTCTAAACTCAAGAGAAATACTGAAATTTCCATCAGGATCGCCTCCGTAAATCTCACTTGACTCTTCAAAAAATTCTACCTCCAAAAAATCCCCAGAAATTAATACCCCTTAAAAATCTCCCCCTGTGACAGCCCTTTATTACTGAATCTCTCTGAAAAACAGCAAATAGAAAAATCCTCCGTCACTCCTCCCCATCGCTTCCAGAGATCCCCGGCCCCAAACCGACGGAATATGCAATCGACGTGGCCAGAGTGAGAGAAAAAATCAATAAAACCCATCAGTCAATTTATGAAAAACGCATTCATAGCTGTGGAGTTTGATCCCCTCAGAAAGAACCGCGAGAAAAAAAATCATCCACGGTTTGAATAGAGTATCGTAACCAAGGAGATCGATGCCAGGAGATTGTTATCGGTGCGAGGAATATCGCCAGCAACCCGAGATAATGCGCCCGGTGACGAATGACGATCGTCGCATATCAGATATTAAAATTTAGCTATTAAAATCCAGAACCCTGGTGGAAAACCAAAGGCGATATTTCACTATCTCCAATTCAAAATCGTTATAAAAATCTGTAGAGGCTTGATCGAAACCAGTGCCACAGACCATCAACAGCACGCGTAAAAAAATCATAGAGAGATGTTCTGTAGGACATTCTTACAGGATGATACAATTGCAATTTGCCTATAGAAATTCCTATAAGAAATGGGATTTTAATAAATGAAAAGGATTAAGACTTATCAACACGCACGATAACATTTCATAGGAATCCCAGCAAATTCAATAAAAAATTCTATTGGATTTCTATTGATCATTCTATTATTTTTTTACCGATTCCATTGAATAGTTCCACAGCTTTACTAAGGGTCTTTTGAATAGAAAATGTCCACTAGAAATCTTTTTATAGAAAAAATCTGTTGATGTTCTTTCTTCTCTATAGAATTCTTTCTATGAGAATTTTCTAGATTTGCACTCCATTTTTCTCCTTTTTTCATCGGAAGAATCAATTGAAAAAATGTGGGAAATTTGAGACAAGTAATTTCTATAGAAAATATGTAAACTAAAATAAGTTATATAAAAAAATCAAATTCTATTGTTTTTTTAGATTATTATAGATAAGCTTCTGAAATGTTGAATAAGAATGGGCCAAAAGCTAATAAGAGGTTCAATAGAAATTCAATAAAATTTAATAATAATTTTGCTGAGGTTTGCTATAAAATTTTTTCGTGCATGAAGTTGTGAAAATTCACCAAGTCCCAATGCTTACAGAATTGATATAGAATCTCCCTCTAAGAATGTCCCCGAGAATAACTTCGATTTTTTCATCCGTGAACGGGCTGAATAAAAAAACATTTGAGAAACGTAAACCAGAAAAAAGTATAAATAACCGAGTATCAAAGGGGGAAAAATTAAATTAAATAAGCAACGTAGAGAAGGGATTCTAGCCTTACGATGAAGAATCGATCATTTTCTAACCGCTGTAATTTATATCTAAATAGCCAAAAAAACTTTGAGAAAAAAATAACAAAAAAAAAAGTGAAAAAGTGTATCTGTGTGCTTTTGTGTACGCGGAGTGCTGCAGTAGTAAAAAACCATTTTAAAAATCCTCTCAGCTGCTGCATTTAGATCAACAATGCCCGTATGCACTGGTGCACAGATAAGCGTGTACATAAAAAAATAGGATGGACAAATAATAAATTGAAAAAAAAACACAAAAACCACAAAGTATGTTAATCCCTGCGGCCTCTCGCCACCTCCACCACTATCTGCGGGGACGTGTGCCTGGGATTTTAGGGCAATCGGCAGTAATGTAGGGAATTTTCGGTGATTTAAAAATCCCAGGCACTCAACCTATTGATGATGTCTTTGAGGGGGCATGTGATAGATTAAGCTGATTGCGCAAAATGGCTCTTTTCGAGGTCAAAATACGAAAGATGAAGTGATTAATAATTTTGAGGGATTATTCACAATGTAGGACGATGTTCCTGTGATGAGGAGCGAGTGACGAATGAAAAAAAAGTGTATTCACCCCCTCATGAAGGAGAAGTGGAGATTTTCTTTTCTTCGTTTGGTATTACGAGGTGTCTGGGGAGAAAAGATGTCACTGGGGAAATAATTTCAAGGGAATGTAGCTCAGAATTTTACAGAGTGGAGAAGACTTTCTTTTGGATTGTACATTACACGTGTTGAGTTACAGTGTTAGGAAAAAAATTAAATTTCACAAAAATTGGAATTTTAGGTTTCACTGAAAAGAGAATGGAATTCCACATTTTTGAGCAGCCGGAAGACGAAAAATTCTCAATTTATTTGGACTTCCAATCAAAACATGGATATTCAGTACTGAATTACAGTAAAATTTCAATTAATTGAAAATTCAAGATTATATTTCGCTCAATTTTACTGATTTTTATTCATTACTGTGGAATATTTCAACCCAAATTTGCAGTTTTCATCGATGTTTTCATCACATTTTGTATTTTGAATTCTTAAATCCCTTAAAAATTCAGTGAAACTGTGTGATAAAAATTTCTGAGAATATAAAAACTTCTCAACAGTACAGCTAAACAAAATTTTTTAGTAGCCACTAGTAATTTCCAGAGTTATATGTTATGAATAATTTCAAAGAAACGTATCTCGAATTCTCATTTTTAAAAAAATAGCGAAAGATTAAAAATTGTAAATTTAAAAAAACCTTGGAAGAAATTCTATTCAGTTGAATTTTTTTAATCTCAAGTATAATACGTCTATTCCGCCATTAATTCTGGGAGACACTTCCCCAAATAATTCCCCCAATTCCCATATTTTCTCCCAAAATACGTGTAAATTACGTCATTCTTCATTCGCGCAAACTCCCCGAGACACCAACGGGTGTTCCTCAAGCAGCTCTTCAGCCCTCGTTGCACGCCTGTGCTTTGTACGAAGACAGAATTTCCTATGTATTTTCTACGATTTATTTTTCTACGTGTAAAGCATCACCCACGAGTGCTGAAGAACTGACAATTACCCTCCACTCCTCACTAAATTCACCCCCCAATCACTCCTCCCCATTAATTTTTTCCTTCGTCACTCGCGTGCGCCGAACGTGTAATTAGACCTAAAAAAATGTCTGAATGAACCTACGAATGACTCTGAGACTTAAAACTCTGCGTTCTGGAGAAAATTAATTGCAATTCGCTTGAGCTTGAGCACAAAAAAAAAACACAGAAAAACCTAGAGAATCCGATTTTAACCAGTCGATGAAACGTAACCAGTAACAATTAGCTGAATCATTTGTTTTCTAACATGAGGAGAAAAAATACCGAGTGTGAGAAATTTCTAAGGGCGAATGAACGAGGATAATTAGGCACACAATGTTGTTCGAAGGTAAAGGCCTAACGAATTATCCCCTCGCAATAACGGAATTAGAAAACCCTGTAAATAGGTGAAGTCATCTGTTCTCATCCTGTCAGACATTTCTTTCGAATTCATCACCAGAAAAAAACTGTGAAAAATTATCTTTTCGTGGCTGATAACCAGAGTAAAATGCACGTTGGAGAGCCTCAGGAGGGAATGATAACAAAAAAAAATATGATGAAAAATACTTGCCATACTAGTGTTATATGGAAAAAAAAATTAGTGATATTTGCGATAATAGATAGACTGAGCCATTAAGTAACGATACCTAGAGTGTAAAGGGGAATAACGAGGGGTGCCTCTGGGCCTGCATCCCACCGAATCGTTGAATCATCCGGACTAAAATTAAATATAATGGTTACACTGTTACAAAACTATTGAAATTTCAGGAGAATGGGAATGAATTTGCAATGACAACATGAATTAGTATCAAATTACGTTGAACTTTAATTTAAGGATATCGAAGGACTTTCGATATTTTATCTCCACTGAAATGATTTTATACTTTTGTAGTCGAACCTCAGAGCTTTCCTTTCATTTTAGAATAATTTTATTATTTAAACTTTGCAGGTTTGAATTTGAATCTCGATATTGAACCGTTAGAAAACATTTTAAAGATCTGAAAAAAATTAGAAAGTTTACGTTTGGAGGAAGATTGACGAAATAATTTAAAAATTGCAATTTTTTAAATGACGAGCATTTTTTATAAATAATTTATAGACGATCAATTCCCCACCATAATTATCATTTGATTGAAAATGGTTTAATCTGTAGTGTGTTCTGTACCAAACAGTAAAACCTCCTTGGATATCCTCAATTAAAAAATCAAGAATAAACTTACCTGATTTTTCTGATTTCTATGAATTTTCACGGAATACTTGACGTAAAATTCGCAATTTCCATTAAATTTTGAATGCAGAAACCCCTTGAAATTCTATTGAACCTACAATGTGATAAAAATGTCCAAAAAATCTACCAGAAATTTCATCTTCTAATTTTCAACAGTGTAAAACTGTAAAAACAAAGTAAAACCCATTATAATAATCTCTTGCAAGCTGCGATGCTGAACGATTCGGTACCCAACGACCGGTGAGAGTTATAAAAAAACCATGTGTTACGTTCAAGATAACGGCCGAGTATTAGTATTATTATTCATCAGCATTTGAGAAACAAGAGAAATTGAAATAAAATCCTATCACCGTTACTCATCTACCTCTTTTTAACGTCATGAAACAAAAAAAAAAATAATATCGATGAGTTGTAATGTTGCCTAATGTGGTGAAAGGGGATACGAATTGTCATCATTAATCGGCATTATTGGAAGGTAATTGTTGACTACGAATTGACGAAAATCATTGATTGATTGAGATAATTGGTAATGTTTTTAATACAAAGAAAATACCAAGATATATTTATTCTTATCGTTTTGGAGTGTAGCTGGACACCGACAGAGTTGTTGCATTGAAATACCATATATTTTAATTAAAATTGTTAATGCTTGATATTCTGGCGGACAATGCCAAGAGCTTCAGGGATACAAGAACCACTGATTAAATAAATGTCACTGTGGTTGAGAAGTTGTGACAATGTGCCGGTCGTAATGATGATATTTTTTATCGAAATAATAAATGAAACAAAAAAATAATAAGAAAAGTGCTCAGCGAGTTCCATTAACTCACACACTCACTCAAACTCACTCTACTCACTCGCAACATCTATTATAAAATATGTGCTTTATATAGTTTAACAAAATAAATAATTTGAAAAATACTTGTTGACTTTTATAAACACCCTGGGTACATGGGAATAGTTTGGCTTAATGACTGGGCTCGTTATTATGTAATTGACTATTCTGGGATGAGCAAGTCAGTGACTATACTGGCGTTGAGTATGTCACGTGGGCTGAGACCCTCCAATCTCAATTCGATCTCTCGTTCTAGTGCAATAGCCGCCTCGAGCAATTTGTCGTGCTTATTTCTCTCTGTCATTTCGAGAATTTCAGCCTTCAGGAGGTGGAGGATTATGTTTACTTGGGATGTCGACCTGCAGAAATGAGAAAAGTGTCAGAAGAGTTAGAAGTTGAGATATGAATTGGAAATTGAATTATTGAAAATTTCATAAAATGGACAATTCAAGTTGGGGATTCAAATTGATTGAGAAAGTTTATCTAAGATTATTCATATTTTTTCAACTCTCCGTAACAAAATTCCAAAAATTCTAATTTCAAATACACGCTTGGAAAGAAAATAAAAATTCCATGGACAATTTAGTAGAAACTGTGAATTCAATTTAGAAGGAAGAATCATGAAATTTCAAATTTCACTGAAAGTTCAGAATTTACCAACTTACTAGTGTCTTCAATAAATTGGAAATTCAAGAATATACTTACCTGAATGATTGAACTCATTGATTTTTCAGCAAATAGTGAATTTCAAATGACGAAATTTCTTGAAATTCCAGTGGAACGGACACTTGCTAAAAATTTCCACGTTGTATTTTGCAAAAATTAATGACAGAAATCAATCTTCTTCTCCAATTCTCAAAATAATTCGACTCTCGATAGAAAGAGTCAAGTTGGGGATTCAAATCAATTGAAAAAGTTCATCTACTTTGATAATTAATAATTACATTCAAATGCCCCTTGATTATTCATATTTTTCAAAGATTCTAATTCCAAAAATACACCATTAGAAAAAAAAACTTCATGGACCGTTAAGCAGTAATTTTGAGAAAAGCGGCATCAAATCCGATTTAGAAGGAAAGAATCATGAAATTGCAAATTTTACTGAAAATTCAATGTAATTCTAAACTTTTGAACAGCAGGAAATCTAGAATTTCCCAACTTAGTTGACTAATTTCCAATAAATCGAAAATTCAAGAATACATTCCTGTCAATTTTCATAGAGAGATCGATCTCATTGATTTTTTCATCAAATATTGAATGTCAAACGACGAAATTCCCTGAAATTCCAGTGAAACTGTCACTTGCCAAAAACTTAAAACCGTATTTTGCAAAAATGAGCGAGAGAACTCAATCTTCTTCCCCAATTCTCAAATTGATTCAGCTCTAAATTAAGTTTAGAATAAATAAACTTCGAAAAAAAGAACTAAGCAAAAGGAAATAGTACCTCGCAAAAATTCTCAACTTGACGTCGTCCTCCCCAAGTAGTATCTCAATGATGCAATGCCTGAACGTTCCGATATGCTTAGACACATGCACATCAGGAAAGATCTCGGTGAAGGCATTCTCCTCCATGAACCGCATGATTTTATCCCCGAGATCCTGCCCCAACGGGATGCTGACGATTTTCTCAACGGAAGCTGCCTTTATCGCCAGAATGCTCTTTTCAATAACCGCCGAATGTCTGGGTGTCATTGCCTTGTCAACGGCCTGCGCCGCGGACATCCGAAAGGTGTGGATTGGCGCCTGCAGATGAGACCCCCCGATATCATAGCTAATGACCCCATGACCCTCGACAATCTCCGAGTCCTCGAACATCGGCATATCGAGGACCACAGTGGCCACCGCATGTCCACCATCTGGACACAACTCGTCTATTCTCCTCGACAATGCCCCCTCGGTCATTTCCCAGAGGCACGTGACACCCTGCAACTCCCCCTGACCCTTTATCATCACGTACACAATCGGACTCGCCAGCACCCTGCAGACAAAACCCAGTAACGGAATTCAAGTTCTCTATCTTATCGGGGATTTTTTTTTTTCTCAACACCGAAGGATCAATGCGGATGGACGTCTTGCAGTGGTGATAGCGTGTGGGCGGGTGCGACAATGGCAATCACTCGTTTTTCGACACGTATTTTTTCATGATAAAAGTGTCTGCCGTCGTCGGAAAACGGAAGTCCGAGGGAATAAAAATGCGTGTTGGGAACATTTGGTGGGAATGGAGCATGGATTTCTGGTAAAGGGTTAGCCTTTAGTGACTTTGGTAACTGTTGTGTCACGTTGCCGCAGTTATTTCTCGGTCGGGTGAGCGGAGAGTTTAGGAATGAAATGGAGAAATGAAAGAGAACAGGTGAAACAGTTCTTTGAAGTAGATAAGATTTATCCATTTTCATTGAAATTTGAAAAATAACAGAAATGATATTCTAATAATTAAATTATTATTATTATATTATAATATAATAATAATAACTATTTAATTATAGATAATTATTGATAACTACTATTATCATTATTGTTATTGTTATTAATTATTATTTATAATTGAATAATAGCAATAACGGAATAATTGATGATATGGAATTGTCAATTGACTATTGAGCAAATATTTCTAAATCTCATAAAAGGCATTTTCGATTAGCCAAATAATCGTTAATCCTCCGAATTCAATTATTGACTGATGAAATAATTCGGTATTGGAATATTTAATTGATGATTAAATTAATAATTAAAAAATTGAGGAGAACTATTAACAATTGACTTGTTCAAAATTAAAGCTCCATTGAAAATTTATAATTATGCCGATGTCATTTTTTATTGGAAATTATCTCGACGAAGAGTCTTACGGAAAAATTTCAAGACTTTTTTTAAATTGAACCTTTGCAGAAAAAATTATCGATATTCTCTCTTACGGCCACTCCTTCAATTAATAAAAGAGAATTGACACGAATGAAATGGAACAGAATAGAAGAGTCGTCTTCTTCAATTGTTTTTATAAATTAGAAAATTTCGCAAGAACATTTCTCTGCAAAAAACGATGTGTTTAACATTTTCAAACATTTTTAATTCTTATCTAATATAAAAATATTTTTAGAAAGGGTAATTTTGAGAAGAATGTTTGGAGAAATTACCCGGGGGCATTCTCTCCCAAATTGTTCAATTCCCAAAATAAAAGACAATAAAAAAACTCGTATTATTTCCTCATACATCAACAAATATCCGATCTCTCCTCAATCAACAGACAAACAGTCAATTAATCCCCTCATAAATTCATAACTACCAACGACCCTGATTGCTCCCCCTTCCATTTATGAATAACCATCTCCAATCAGCGGAAACAAGTGAAATAATCATGGATCGATGCACAATCACTTCCCCCGTAATCACCATTTCCCGGATGCAAACAATTTTTCAAAGCCATCAATTTTTTCAATTTCTCCACCCATCCCCCTGCATTATTCACCGATTGTCGTGTCTCACGAGTCCATTAATCAAGAAAATAACAAATTCATCGTGGAATCCCCATTGAATGTTCAAAGTTGCGCAACGTGTCGAATATTAATGTCCACGAGACTCACCAGGAAGTGGCTTTTGAACATTGAAAAATGGCACTAGAGTAATTTTGCATGAGTCTGGTTTACAAGAGTCAACGCATCGTCTTGACAGATCGTAATGCCCGCCCAGATGTCTATGTTTAGGGCTCATGTCTCTCATCGTGTTAAATTTATTGCTATGCAATTTTCTCCCACTACCCGAGCCGTTTTTCCTTTTATCCTCCAGTCGTAAATGAGAATTAAATGGTTAGTTTTCTCTCGTCAATCTGGCAGTGTCCGGTTTTACGGCCTCTGGCTGGGCACCTTAATGAAGATGAAGTGATTCGCTCTCGATATTTCGGAGGCCCCGGGAATGGACTCGGTAACAAACTAATTCTGGCTATTGGTAATGCTCAATGGACCAGAATCCCAATTCTGCATTTGAATGATTATTCGAAGAATCCTGAACATCCGATTACTGTTCTGCTCTTAGTTTGGATGCCTGGGGCACTTGGAATTGCTCAGGGAGTTTACATTCCTTCAATTGTGCGGGGATCGTGGGGGATTTGGTGGAATCATTCAGGGGAATTCAAGAGTGGAGTTGTAAAATCAGGGGAATGATTTTTTACAGTTTAGGGAGTTATGATTCTCTGCTGAAAAATATTTGGTATTTTCTTAGAAAATCGGTTTGGTTGAAATTTAGGTGTTCACGAAAAATGATTCTTGACATTTTCCCTTGTTTTCGGAATGAATAGAGATTTACAAAGAAATTTAAACGAGTTGAAATCGATCAGAGATAAAAATTCATTCAACTTTGAGAGGAAATATCAAGAGTAATGGAACTGCGGTGGACAAAATTGAAACGGAAAAATGCCGCCCAACATTTTCGGCGAAACTCCACAGGAGTGGAGTTGTAGAATCAAACAAACGGGTTTTTACAGTTGAGCGAATTCTCCGAAATAAAAAACTCGTGACATTTTCCCCCGTTTCAGACAATTATTAGGAAATCTAAATCATTTAAAATGGAGCAAAGATTGAAAATTCGTGTGGTTGAAAAAAAAATCCTATTGATATTTTCTCCTAAAATTAGTAGTTCGCGAAATAAATTCAGAATAAAAAAATGTCAAAAGATTTCTCCATTTAAAATTTAATCCTCCGCAAAAAAAATTGACATTTTCTCTCGTTTCCAGAATAAACAGACAATTCGACAAAAACCCATTCGACTTTGAAAGGAAATCTCAAGATTGATAGAATTGCAATTGAAAAAACTCCAATAAAATAAATGTCTAACATCTCCTTCAAAACCCACTTGTTCCCAAGATAAGGAGAAACTAATAAAAGAAATTGCCGCAGTCTGAAATGAATGGAAGAATGAAAGAATACCCCTCCACTTCATAATCTCTTCCAACAGAAATATGAGAACGAACAGGACACAGCTATCCAATTGCAGACAAACGGAAACAGGAGTGGGTTTCAGGTCAAATATCGACTGTGTCAGCAGATGCGCATTCTAATCAATCCCGAGCTTGAGAAAAAAGATAGTAGAAGTGAAAACAAAAAGTTGGACAAATTTTTTTTCATCTTGAGAATGTTTTTGTCATATCTGGCCTTGATCCTTTATTGTTGATGGTGATGAGCATTCACTGTCTTCTTGGCGTGAGTCTGTGGGGGTATGCGCGTGCGCGGGTGGATGTGCAGTGGCAAATCGACCCGCGAAACGCATCTGACCAATCCCAACTGGAGAGGCGGTGGGTGAAGTATTGACACTTCAAACTGTTTTGATTGTTCTCGGTTTGTTTATTTTTCATAGTGAGAATGTTCATCGCGGATCAAGAAATTGTGATTGTGAAATAAAAGATTGATTCATCTCTAGAAATTAATTTGTGAATTTAGTCCTCGTTTTTCATTCGCGTATTTTTAATTTTAAGTTTTCTCAAATTTTATGCACTAATTCGATATATTTTTTTAATGAAAATTATCCAATTGAATGTTTTATGTAATTTATTGCCTCAATTCTTATTTTTAATTGTTGTTGACAAATAGACACTTTTTCATCAAAAAAGTTGATTGATTTCAATTCATTTTTCAATTGATGTTAATTATTCGTTTCAGTTCGGTTTCGTAACTATCTAGACTAATTCAACATCAATTATGATTGCCAAGAATATTCCCAGTGATGCGAAATAAAAATTCCACTGTTCTTTTAATAAATTTCTGGCTTAAATTCTGTTTTTCATTTACATAAACTTCTTTACAAGACAAACGCGGAATTGAATGGAATTTCCACAGAATAAATTAATCAATTTAAATTTAATTTTCAATTCACCTCATCTTTTTATTAAAGCTTTCCCGAAATTATTCGCATCAATTACTGTTCTTTAGCGTAAATAATCGTAATCATCATTTATCACCGTTTAAAAACTGTCAATGTAAACAACAAGCGTCAATACTTTTCACGTCAATACTCCGCCCTCGCCCCCCACCGCGATGCCATTGCTGTACCATTTGTGTGGGATTCGAGTGTGTTGGTATGCGCCGAAGTGTTTCGTTTTCGCGCTATGAGGAGCGACAGCGTCGGGGCGCCCGGCGTCGTTGATGGGTTACTCGGAAGTCCACTGGATTGTGAACAGTGCACCAGAGAATGCCGCCGTGAACGGATGCACCCTCGACATTTACCGTAAGCACAACAGCCACACGTGTTGAGCCCACATTCGTGTTGATTAGAGATAACCACCACTTGGTGATAACCGGAGTGATTACGAGTAACTGCAATTTTCGATTTTCGAGGGAGGGGAACGTTATCTCGCGGGATTTTCGGCGTTTTTCTCTGGGAAAAAGCCCGGGTGGAGCTGTGACGAGACGCCGTGTCGTCGGGGTAAATGATACTGTGATCAAACCCCTGCGTGTATGATAGGCGGAGGTGAGTGGTATAATTCGCAATTTATATTTTATTTCATTAGATGAATGCACCTCTCGTCACGGGAATTCGCCGTTTATTTCACGCTTGAGACACTCGAATAAAATGAAAAATAGATGGAAGGAAATCGAGAAATTGAGAGATTTTAAATTTGCGGGGGGTTTATTTCAAATGTAGGAAAATTTGCTAGAAAATAAGAGAAGAAATTTTTAAAATTCATCGCAAAATCGTTTAGGGAGATAAAAAGCGCTTCGTTGGTAATTGCCGGGGCAGAATGAGTCATTTTTCCGCAATTGTTGATGAATTTTGCCTGGATTTTCAATTCTATCATCAACAGCTCTGAATTTCTTCAAATTTTCAAATAAAAAGAATACTCGGGCAATACCAAATGGAGTTTTAGTAGAAAAATTGATGAAATTCGTTTCAAATCCGAAGAAATTTCACGTGAAATATTAAAAAATCATCTGTTCTGCCCCACAAATTATCAGGATTCAATAAGAATCACTGTTATGAGCTGAAAAAGATTTCGTCTCGAACTACCGGAGCAAAATCCCTAATCTTTTCACCAATTTTACATGGAATTTCCCGGAATTTTCAATGTTGATATCAAAAATTTTCAATTTCCTCGAGTTTTTACATAAAAAAAAATCTGCGAATAATAATAAATACAGTTTGCAAAGAAGAACAATATCCTTATTTAAAACCTTGATGGAATTCATTTTCAATCCCAACAAATTGCAGGCAAAATACTAAATAAATGGCCCATTTACTTTGAAAATGCAACAAAATTTAATTTAATGATATGAAAATCTTTTTGTCTGTAAATACTGGAGTAAAACCACTCGTCCTTCCTTAATTTTTAAATTAAGTTTCCCCGGTTTGTCAATATCTTCATCATTGATTTCAAATTCCTTCACATCCTCAAAATTATAAGTTTCATAAAAAAACGACTTTTATTAAATTGCAAAACACCACAAAATAAAAAAGTAAACGTTTTGCTCGCATGAATTAAAAACAGCATCTATTCAATTAATTTCTTGAGTTGCAATCCCATGTAAATTTTCAACAATCCCCCGCTGTCTGCAGCATGCATGAATAAATGAGTCTCGAGCGTCGCTGGTCTACACGACAAAAACTGACTTTTCCATGTGAAATGAACAAAAAAAAAGAGACAGAGACAGAAAAAGCTAAATTGATTTCCCATTTACGCCGGTATTCCTGCGGATTCTCTCTCCCAAAACTGTTTGCACGACAAGCGGATGAAGGAAATCGGACGGATCGACGAGTTCAATACCAAAAGAGAAATACGGATTCATTAGTCCGTGAAGAAATCTCGGTTACTTCCATTTCCCAGTGAATTCATCTCCCTTGCCAGCGTGTTTTCCGTAATTCTTGGAGTTGCAATTAAAATTATCTTATTTCATGGTAACTTGGGTCTGTTATTCTCGAGCCAATAAACTGCGATGAAACTCCGTTAGGAGAAGTTCTAGTTTTCATTGATAGCACTCGATTCTGGGGAGAATTGAGGAGGGGTTCTCATGGAATATTGCAATTTCTCACGCACTAAAGTATCTGAGTAATGATTGTAGATGCCAGTAAATTATCGAAAAGACTGGATACTTTATTAGCGGAAGAAACGGAAGGAAAATAGATAAGATCGTGAAATATTTAATTCTTGCGGTTTCTTCGAAGATATTCTAACCGTTTACATTCATAATTAAAAACTCCTCATTTCTGAGTCATTAACGGTAATGAGTGATGTTAGGGGAACATTTTAATAATTTGTTATTGAAAAAAAAATGTCGACAGCGGAAAAATCGACAATAAACAATCACGTCGAATTTTAATCATTCAAAACTAATTTTCTTCATTTGTTAAATGGTGAATTATCTCGAGAATAAGTTCTTCTAGGGGAAAAATGTTAGAAAAAATTCTTTTATGGAATTTTCGCGAGATATAAAAACGGTTTACAGGCATTTTCTCCCAGACCCACTCGTTTACGAGATGAATGTAGTTTCAAGAACATGTTTTATTCAAATTGACTTTTTTCACAACTTCCTTGATCTTTCAAAATCTTGTTAGATATGTAAATACCTTCATAACGAGTGATTTGAGGCGAGAATGTCGGAAAACAGTTCTTCAAATAAACAAACATGAATTTGATTGAAAAAACGATTCTTTCAATTGTCTAGTTTTATAGCGTAGACTCTCATCTTTCATTTCCAAATAAAAGTTCATGATAATTTGCAAAATTGACCGAGTTGACCCAATTATTAACATCTTGTTAAATGTGGAATTATTTAAATAATTAATCATTCTAGGGAAAAATGGCGAAGGCATTTTTCATTGGAATTTTACTTCTGTGGGATGAATGCAGAACTAACAATGCAATGTTCATTTTGCTAGACATTCATATATTCTCCACAAAAAAATTGCAATATTTTCCCCCAAAATCCGTCGCTCCTTAAAAAAACCTCGGAAAAAAAATTCTCCTCTTCACAACCTGACATTCCATTACTGTAGTCTCAGTTTCACCTTCATATTCTACTAGAATCAGCCGAGTATTCTCATTACCGCGCACTCTCACGCACTGAACAATCGTCATAATTACCCTTCACCAATCTCTCAAAACAAACTGAATATCCCACTCGAAGAAGCAAAAGAATAAAAAAAAATTAATGCACAAAAGAAAATAAAACAGACGATAATTCCCGTACTAAAAAATTCCGGAATTCATCCCATTGTTGAATTTATATGTCACTTTAACCACGTCCGTTGTACACCATATTTTTATTTATGAGTAAATTCTTTCACTCGCCCTCACGTGAGCCGTAAAGAAAATGATATGGGAAACAACTCACGTGGTAGCGGCGGGGGAGAAGGTGCACGAGACATTGTGCGATATTCATCGTACGGAATTAATTAACTCGGGTTTGCCGGTGGTATGGACACACAGTGAGGTGTATACCCGTGTTACAGAGGCGGATTGCACACTCGTTGACCGAGAGGAATCATACGGGGTTACGCAATTGTCAATTGCCATCTGGATCGACGTGTTGTTTTTTTTTCTCCTCTGTAACTTGATTATTCAACATGTGGGTAAACCTCGAGATAAACTAGATAAATATTTCCTTCAATTTGATGGAGATGCTATCCATCAGCAGGAAATATAAAAATTATAGTTGGGGAAGTGGAGATAATCATGAGGGAGTTGCAGACGTGAATAGATGGCGATTAGATGTGTTATGACTTCGAAGTTATTGTGTTGTGAAACGGAATAACAAGTTTTTTTTGCGGGTTTGGATGTTGAATTATTTTAATGGGGAGTTATTCCGGGGGGAATTGTTAGCAGGCATTTTTTGTTGGGAATTTAATAATTTTTTTGAAAAAAATCTCTCGATTTTTTCTCAAAATATGAGATGGTGGAGAATTCTTTTGATTTAAATCGACATTTTTACACATTCCGGCGTGAATTTTTCATCTCATTAATTTTTTTTCGGGGAAATTGTGATGAAACATTTTTTTTGGAAATTTAATGATTTTTCATAAAACGTCTCTTCATTTTTTTTTAATATGAGACAATGGGGACTATTTTTAGTTTGAGTTGACATTTATCATATCCTGATTCTATTTTGTGTCTTGTTACATATTAAAACATCGATAATAAGCGATTGAATGGGAAAATGTCAAGTGAAATTTATTATTGGAAATTGAATTCTTGATAAAAGTCACTTAATTTTGTTCTAGAACCATAAGAATTGGATTTATTCAGTAGTGAAAAGTAATAAAAAGATTTTTTACATTCTTTGGCCGTTGAATTGTGTTGTTATTAACGTCAATTTAATTATTTTCGAAGAAATCTGTTGATATTTCCTCAAAACATGAGATAATCGAGAATTAATAAATTAATGACTTTCCTTAATTTATCCAAAATTAACGAAAAAAATCAATTCGTTTTATTCCAAAATCACATGTTCCCGAAATTAACACGAGTTGCATTTGACTCATTACAGTTTCGCAATTGCGTGACAGAAAACAGTTACTCCTGATGAAAGTGATAACAAGTGATGACAAACTTCACACCCACTCACCCCCAACGAAACTAGAGACCTGTAATACAAGATTGACACAGTGACGAATTGGGTCATTAGTGTCGTAATTTACATGCGCATTAAATCAGATTTATCTATGCTAATTCCCGGGTCTCGTGCTTCCAGTGCGCTATGAGTACAGGAGAAAAAACAGCCACAGAGAGAAGATGACACCACGCCGACACGTCCTGGCGGGCATTCGCCGGACACTCCTCGCGGCTGCTGTACTTGCCATCGTCATTCTCGCATTATCGAGCCAGGACAGCAGTAGCAATACAGTGCAGTCATCGTTGGAAGTGAGTACAATAGTACAATTTCCCCCATGGAAATTCGATCAAAAGAAATCACCAATAATGGAGAAAATTCAGATGAATTTCATGAGATTTTTTATTTCGCAATTTAATTAATTTTATTTTGCAAGTGTTAATCTTAAATTGCAAGGCGTCTTCTTGTAGTTTTATGACATTTTGCTGTCAAAAGTGAATTTTTTATTCATCGAGACTACACGGAGGTAAATTGAGGAAAAATTACGGAAAAGCATGAGTAGTCGTGCAGCGAAATTCTGTTCTAGATTTTTCCGGGATTTTCCTGATTGCCAGCACAGAGAAACAAATGTTGTAGTGTTGAGGGATACTTAGGTAATTTTGAGAAATTGATCGTTCATTTTTAGGAATTTACACTGTCAAAAATTTTTGGGTGAAATTTCAAGAGATTTTGTATTTGTAAATTCAGAATTTCATGGAAAAATCAATGAGAACTGTAAATTTCAGTTCAATTATTCCCTAAAAATGAATATAAATGTGGAAAATTCTAGTGAATATATTCTTGACTTTTTCATTTATTCAAAATTCAGTAATCAAAAATTTCTAACAGTGTACCAGATTTGGCTGCATTATTTCACCATCTGTGTATCCCTCCCCACAAAATTCCGGACTGCAACCAAGCAAGTTCCCCACATCGAATTTCCCGCCAATTCACTAATAAATGTTCAAACACCCCATTATCCCCAGCGTCTCCCGAAAAACGGCCCTGTTAACCCCATATGCTCTTCCCAGAACCCCCGTAAATAGACTGAAATTCGACTTTAAAAAAACACGAGGAGTACAAACGACAGAAGACCCAGTGAAACTTTGCACAGTGAAAGCGCGTTGTGATTTTCACGAGCTGTTCAGTCTCTCCACTTCGTACACGTTGGGCGAGGATGAGCCTGGGAAGAGAGAGCGAGAGAGAAAGAGAGAGGCGAGAGAATATCTAAAAGTTTTCCCATCGCCCCTCACCCGTTCTCTCTTCGATTGGACCGTAAACTCATCGTAAAAAAGAAAACCGAGGGTTTCGTGTGCATACGACAAACCTCACCTCAAACGATTGGGATTGTTATGGATCCGGAGGAGAAAACCGCAGGGGGAATTGATTATGAAAAAGAATCTCTGTGTATTTTTCATCGCCATCAGGCAGACAGGGGAATTGAAAGATAATATTTGCAGTGGAATGTTACATTTACGTGGATAAAGTAGTATTTGAATTAGTTATTGGAATATTGATGGCGAATTGGTGATTCACAGTCATGGAATAGAACGGATAGAATACCTTTACATTTAAAGAAGATGTTTATCACATTTTAGTTTCACTGAAATTTCAAGAAATTTTGGAGTTGAAAATTCAGAATTTCACGGAAAAATCAATGAGACAGGTAAATATCTTCTCCAATTTTTGATTAATTGAAAATTTAGTGTCATTTGACTCTAAATATTCATGTTTTTATTGAGAATTCAAATACGTTGAAGAATTCTTGCCTCAATGCCACTTACAATTTTGGAAATTCATTGAATTTTCAGTGAAATATGCAATTTCATGGTCTTTTTTTTCTAATAGTGCAGTAGTTAAATAAGTTCAGAGAGGAAAAAACTGTTTGAAATTAATTGTTGCCTGCAGTAATCTGGAACAATTGAATTAAAATAAGAGATATAACAAATGGGACTAAATAGAACTGTTCAGTCTTTAATATCTTCCGCCTCAACGACACAATTTTGAAAGATCAGATCTCATTTTAAAGCTTGCAAAAATATCTTGAATAAAATGAGAAAAAAAATTAAATACGACTCTTCTCATTCAATTTCTCACTTTGATCAATAAAAAAAATCAATATTATAATTTTTCTAAACCAACACACATGGAACCACATTTCTGTAATTATTTTACGCAATTATTTTCCTACAGTTCTTTCATTATTAATTTTTCATTCCCAAGAAAACACAAAAAATCGTACGGAGAGAATACGAAAATTAACAATTCTGTTCATTAATTTAATTCAATTTAATTTCTCATTTGATGAAACGAAAATTCATTTTCGTTTCATTCATGTCTCAGAAACAACCAAGAAATCAATCGAACCGCACTTGTAAAACACCAGAAACGGAACAGGATATCTAATAATTTTTACCCGATTATTAATTCTTTTTTTTTCGTTTGTCATTCTCTGACGAACGGAGCAAAAGATTCCAAATAGCGCGAAAACCCCGTAAATTAATGATTCTATTCACCCATCAAGACTCCGGGTGTTCTGTAAGCGCCACACGAGATGATATTAGATTCCAAGTCTGACGAAAATAGCATCTGACTACTTGTAGACTTCACCAGCAGCCTCCCAATGTACTCGAGATTAATTAATCACTCGAGACCCGTCAAATCCTGCTGTTGAAGTAGCAAGGCGATTTTTCCCCTCTCGGGATACGACTCAATGAGAAATTCCCAGATGAGAGGGGGATTCCCATTCTGGGCAGCTCCTTTCACTTGTCCCTCACACCCCCCGGGCGGAGGCGACGTCTGTCAACGCCGGGAAAGAAAGGCTTGCATTTCGTTCCCCTCGCTTCCCATCGAATTCTCCAGTGCACGCTAACCCAAGAGGAAAGAGAAAGCGACTGACAGACCGAAAATAGACAGACAGACAGGCTCTGCCAAAAAATGTCGAACCGTTTAAATCGCAGTTAAAACATTAGAAATAAAAATAGGGTGAATCAATTCGACTGGGCGTCGACGAGGCGTTTGAGGGATGCGAAACGCTCGACAAACTCCAAAGCCTCGGCGTACTGTGAATGGCGGGTAAACGGTGAACCAAAAAGCTCGGTGTATCTGTCCTCGTCGCGCTTGCATCTGGCAAACTTCCAGACGCATTGCGGCAGGTGGTTCACTCAGGCCACCACTGGTATAGTAATTATTTTTCAAAAACACTCATTTGTATCAATTGATCCCATTAAGAGGTGTCAGGAGACATAGTCTAGATGGGTTCTCATAATGTTTGCGGAAGAAATAGAATGAGAGGTTTGGTAATTGGGGCTTTTGTCACGGCTGTTGAAAAAAATTATTCAATTTACTTTTTCTCTTTCAATTGCCTATTTCATATTGCTTTTAATTGTAGTTGTTTGGTTTAGAAATGTCTTGCATAATTTGTATTCAGTATTGGTTTTAGAGAGAAAGAAAAAATTGGACGACTTCTTATTTTTATAAATGACGATGATATGGGAGGGACTTGATGAGATTTAAAGTCCTATTTAATTAGAAAAAAAAAAAATGACATGAATTAATTTTTAATTTTAATTTTATTCATTATTTTTTTATTTTTAATTCTTAATTAACTCATGTCATTTTTTTTTCTACTCATTAAATTAATGAATTTATTTTTCGACGGACGTTCCATCACCAAAATTTCATGGCAAAAAATTCTTAATCAATATTGTTCATTTAAAAATTTTCTATTTCTGCATAGAGAATGACATTTCAAACGAGGAGTGTTTTTTGCCATTTGCCTCGGAAATCATCTGTTACAGAGTGATTTTCCTAAAAAGATTCCGAGGGCACATATTTTCTTTGGATTGAAAAACGTAATGTTTGCGAAGGAAATAGAGTGAGAGGGTTGTTAAGTGGTGCTTTTGATGGAAGTGATGGAGGCGATTAGTGTCACGTCTGTCGAAAAAATTAATTGAATCTATTTTTCTTTTCTTTTAATGACATAGTTCTCTGAATGGCGAGAATCGGTTGGAGCAGTTGTTTATTTTAGGAGTGTCTTACGTAACTTTCATTTACTATTGGCTTTCAAAAGAAAAAAAAATATACTGCATTACTATTCTGAGAAGTATAAAACCGGGGAGGCATTCCGCTATTTAAAGTATTAATTAATCGAAAAAAGAATCAATGGGAAAATGATTTTAAACGATTTACTCAAAAATTTCCTATTCCTTCGCCAATTAAATGAGTAATTACTCATAATAAATGATCAATTAAATATCCTTTGACATTTCTTCTGAAATTACTCATCATCGAGATAATTTTCTTTCGAAGCAATTTGAGTGGACACGTTTTCCCTGGATTTCCAGAATGTTTGCATAGAGAACAGATCAGAGGAATGTTAATTGGTGCATTCAGCGGAGTTTAATGAGTACAAGCGTTTATTTCAAAGGTGTCTTGGGCAACGTTCACTCACTCTTGAATTTAAACTACAAGAGAAATCTACATAAATTATCAAATTATAATTATAACAAAATAATTTTTTTACGCAGCAGATATTCGTTACTCAATTCATTATTTAATTAAAAAAAATTAAATATTATTCATTCGACAAATAAGTGTGAAAAAATAAAAAATTTTAGTGAAAAATTGTAAAATGAAAAATATTATCCATTCGACGATTCATTTATCACTTAACAATTTGTCATTCCTTCTCAATCTTAAATCCTTTGCAATAGAAAAAAATTGCAATCGCTATAAAAAATACACTTCCTTCAATGCCTCATTAAACTCGACCTTGCAACACGTTAGTGTAAACACGAGTCGCGCTCGAGGTTCTCCAGAAAGTCCGATAATCATATTTCCCCGGCAAAAAGACTCGCTGAATTTTTCTGAACTTTCCATCACCTCTCTATTTCTTGAGGATCCTTAAACTTCGAAAATTTATTATCTCTCATCACGCACAAGTCGTGTATCAGCGTGTACCGAGTAACGATGAAAAACCCCCCTGATTTTGACCATGCAACTCTTAGTGTGCATGACACTCTAGTCCACGACGATCAAAAGACATCACGGAAGGTCTTTTCTGCACGCGGTAGAAGCACAAGTTGGAAGTGGGTCGATCGATTCTCGGTGAAATCCCGTAGATCGACCTTTGCTCAACCCCAAAAAGGAATAAAAGATTCGATTCAACGCACGACATCTCCCTCTCTTGCGAGTGCCCTGGGCCAGCGGAAATGCCATGTGGAGTCGATAAAATCGGGTGATTGCTGGGTAATCATACCACTTTTTTCTAATGACACAGATGGACAGAGTCGATAAGTCGAGCTGGAAGACCCTGTAATCGAGTTCTTTGGCTTCGTGGAATACTCTCCCTATTGTTTTTCATCGGGGGTGTCTGTTGGGAGCGGTGGGAATGGTTATGTTCCGGAAAATAAAACGAAAGGGATTGAGAGAATTATCGATTTTATTGGAGATGTATCGCATGCGAATTGCGGAGGGGCAGAAGGGGATAAATCGCGTCGTTTGACTGAGAGGGGAGATAGTAGAATTTTTTAGAAGAGATTTTTGTACATTACACATTGGGATTTTGAAGTCAATTTAAGATCAGACAGTCATGGAATTTGTTGTTTAATTTTGAAATTTAAGAAGATTGAATTTTCTGTTTTCGGTGATAATTGATATCTCAATTTCATCTAGAATTCTCGAAGTCATTGTGAAAATTGAATAGCACATTGAATCGAATTTTTGCCAGAATTGTCAAGATTTTCAATCATTTTCAGCCTCACGTGGATCTGAAAATTGCAACTTCATACTCCAAAATTCAACTGATTATCCCGCAACAATTCGATTTGAGAGAGGAAAAATACTAAAATTTCAAGTTTCACTGGAATTTCAATTTTATTCCAAATTTTGCCCAGCAAGAAGATGAGATTTCTCAATCTCACTTGAATCTTAGAAAAGCAGAAACCCCCAAGCCAAAGAAAATATTCTCGACTTGAAAACCCAAACATTTTAAATTCAAGAGTAAAATTATGCTAGATTTCAAGAAACATTATTGTGAATTAAGCCTTCTTCATTTATCTTTCAAAAAATTGTGCAGGAAATTAATCCCGCAATTCTGACAAGCATTTTTGAAGAAATATTCTCGAGAAATCGAATCTTTTCTCCTCCCTCCCCACCGAAATTAGAGTTGACTCATCCCATTCTACCACTGCACGCCTACAAAATTTAATAATCATCAATTGGCGCCTATTAGCACCAAAACTCATTACTCACGTAACTACCATCACAGCTGGCCTTAACCTTTGGCATCAGTTGCAAAAACACGAAAATTGCATGCTCAGTAGGTAATACCCCCCCCCCCCCCTCC